TCTTAAGGCTGAAGAGATCACCAACTGTCCTTTCGATAATCGCTAATTCTCGTCCATGGTAATAAAACGTTTTGCCCCGTTAAGAACGCTTCACTCATTTGGGCCCAGATCTCTTCCAAAAGTTACGGGGTATTTGCTTTCAATTCGATCTTACCTCCAGTCCTCAGTCTAGTACCTGCTAACCACCATGAACCCAAATTGGCTCCCGAATCATAACGAGGACAATCCGGTTAGCACTGCGTTCGTTAGATACCTCCCGGTTCAAATATTTAACGCACCAATCATGTTCAAAACTTGCGTATCGAAATTCACCCCCTATTCTTCGTTTTCTTTTCTCCCTATCGCTTTGTGCACTGTTGGAAAATTGTTCACATTCTCCCATCCCCAAATGAGGTGCATATTGTGAATTAAACAACTGACGTGACATTTTCCTCGCCTCTTTCCATCCTGGCGACATGGAACTAATGATAGGCAAAACGAAAAAATAATCCCTGGCAGTTGAAATATCTGGACGGCCGTTACCACAATTTCATCTGTCACAGATAAACTAAATGACATGCAAGTCTCAAATTTTGTCGCCATCCCCATAGTGCTGCGAAATTTAACGATTGCTGCATAAAAAGGCGAGTGAGAATGCGCAAGGTACACAGGAATTTCGCCCAGTTCGAGGGAGCGGGAAGTCAGGAAACCCCTATGGTCAATACAGAGTTTACAAACTAACTGTACTGTGCTGATTTCTCCTCAACGATCACTATGGAAAAACGCATCTGGCCTTCGTGGATACCCCCCAAAACATTCGATCGGGGTTGGTACAATGGACCCTGTAGCGAAACTTGTCTGCATGAATTCTTCTTGTGCTTCAGCAAGTGCAAACGAAAATTTACTCGTAACTGTTCATTCCCGATTCATGCCATGTTTAGCAGTATCGCGAACGATTCCAGTCAAGTTTCACTTCCCTTAAAATACCACGCTAGCTCCCACTCTCCTCGGTTTCACTGACGATCTCTTAACCAAAACTGCTGATCCATTTTTTGTCGATGATGTCGACTTACATTGTTCTTCCTTATGATCCCTTCTGGGTCTCCTATATCACCAACGCTCACGATCAATATCTACGTGCGCTTCACAGCACTTTAGGACACCAAAAATCGAGTCATTTTCAGTGCCACAAAACCCCCTGTGCATGTTTATATGTCGCACACGGAATCCCTGTTCCCAATGTGCATTTTGACTTTTGGAAACTTCAATCCATGTCTATAGTTTCACTTAGTCTCCAAGTCTTCTTTAATTTCTTGTTCTCATTTTATGGAACCCCTATTACGTGCACTTAGGGAGAATAGTTATCCTATCTGAGTGAAACGGTTTATCATCCCCTAACAAGTTCTTACTCTCCGTAGAACCATAAGGCCTCACAGCTGGTACATCGTGCGCTGTACAAAAGCGCAGGCAGCGTCCATGCGTGGGGTCGAATNCGAATCCCATCGAGGCTACTAAAATTTTGGGAGGTGGTTTACTTGCTGCAACCGGCATGCTTTGGACCCTACGTTCCGAGGTTCGAACTCCATCACCGCGACCCAACGTTGGTGGTAGACAGCTTTTCTATCATCCGGTTCAACAGCACGCATAACCTATCGGGGCCTTATGTGGTTCACCACTCCAAGTCCCGCGGTTTAAAGTTACCGGTTTCCATCATTGAACAGCAGGTTCTCGTTACCATGGGGCTTTCCCCGTCGGCATTAAGATGTGTAATAAAAAATGGATCCCATTCTGGGGTATTTTATTCAGATCAGGGGGAAGCACCCTTCTCTTGGGAACTTTTAGACCAGTCTTTCTCCTTGTGGCTGCTTCAGTCGCAATCACTACCCTGTCCCTTTTCCACGGTTATCATATACTTTGCTTTTCAGAGTTTGCTGATCTGGTCTTTCTCCACTCTCGTTCGACCCGATCACAGAACTAAACCCACCTCTGTCTGGTGACCGTTAATCCTGCTAAAAATTAGCGTACAAGAACTCTTTCTTCACGAACCGAGGATCCCTCTTTCTGTTATTCTTCCCTGTAAAACGTTTTTATATTTACGCGCAGAACCAACGGTACTACACTGATTTTTTCATCATGTGTAATAACTGCTCCACATCATGTCTGCAACGCAATGAAGAGAAAAGTATTCAAGTTGGACCACCTAGATGGCCCTTTTCCTATTCGCAACCGGGAAACTCATCCTGTAACGTGCAGCTCCACTGACCACGGTCTGACTGTTCTGCAGTCTTTGTATCAGCGGAAAGAGTAGTTCACGGCCATTTAATATCTCGAAACAGCAAAACGCTAATGAGCAACCGCCGAGACGATGACCAACCGCTTGTGAAGCATAAACAGAGCAGAACGGAGCTGATTCTTTATTTCTAACGTCAGGTTCAGCAAAGGCGATGCCTGTCTCTGTTGGATTGAAAAGATACATAAATGGGTGACTAAATCGCAGGCGCTTGAATAGGATTTATGTCGAGATCATTGGGGGAACCAGAGCTGTCGCGAGATGTGGTCGGCGTTGAAGCAATTCTGCGGCACAAGCGGGATCTCCTGTCCTGACGCGGAAGAACTAAATCGACAATTTTCTGCCCAATCTGGTTCCAAACCCTCTACCGTCCGCTTTAAAATCTCCCTTGAATACATCAACCCTATTTCTCCGACCGAGACTCTCAAAGTTGTGAAGCAACTCAGGTCGAACAACCCCCATGGGACTGACTCATTAGCCCCTTTATTGAAAATCGTGCCAAACAATATGCAACACCCACTACCGAGTTATTCCATTTGTGTATGTCCTCCGGAACAATCCCTGATTGTAGAGGGGGGGAGCTGCCTACATGAGACCCATCCCCAAGAAAGGCTCTTCAAAGTATCGACCGATTGCTTGTACCTCAGCTACGTTGAGTCCTGTTGAACCTGATGACTACCCTGTATGATGTTCTCGATCCGCTTCAGTTTGCTTACAAAGGTTCACTTCCCACTGTTGACACCGTCGCTCATGCTGTTTATTCTGTGGCTTCAGTTTTAGTGATGGAACTGTTCACCTTTAGTCGGCCTGGCCGTTGCATTTTTGTTTAACGTCTCGCCGAATACGAGTTAGCATCCGACGTGTTGAACGTTCTTCTAAACTCTTCCAGAATGTAATTGACCTCGTCAAATGGTAAAACTTCGTCTAACGTTAACTGTGATGTTTTCTAGGGCACTATTTCGTTTCCATTCTTTTTTCCCTGTCCGTTAACAACTCGCCTATTGCTACAAATGTTATTGCCTATATGTAAGCTGACGTTGTGGTGATTGGGTGCTCATCCAATAACGATGCATCCTCCTACCGACTTCAAGACAGTCTGAACGACGTCTTTAGTCGGTCTCTGCCATGATTGTTTATACTTTATATATACATATATATGTAGGCCGGATTGTGCAAAACAAATCATGGTACGATAATATTTAAACAGAAGAAAAACGTTCCATGATTTGCATGTGGGCCGAATACTGCCAGATTACCCTGGCTAAGGCAGGTAAATTTTCTTGAGGAAACCACAACCGGAGCCTTCGGCTAGCCATAGCCTGACGCGTAAGACAGCGTGTAAAAGCCGTAATCCAATGGCGGCTGGTGTCCAGTTCATCGGACGGGGTTTATGTTTCTAAATGTGTTGATGTTCCCTTCAACCTTAAATCTTGCCCCCATTATCAAATTACTTTTAATGGTTTACCTGAACCCGTCGTTCCCAAAGATGACTCTGTTAGGTACCTCGGAGTCGTTCTATCCCACAAACTATCCTGGACTAACCATGTAGAGAATGTTGACAACAGGATTCGTAAACTTTTCTTAATGCTTTCAGACTTCAGAAGATTACTGTTCCCCAAAATGTGATTTTTAAATTTGCGATTGCATACATTCCCTCATTGGCTGGAAGGAAAAGGAAATCATATCAACTTCCAGATCGATAATACTCGGGTCCGATGTAGTGGCATAACCAGAAACGTCCTGGTTGATCTTATTGTGTAATCACATCGACACATGAAAGAATGGCTGATAGAATCTTAAACAACCAACTTCTTCAATCCGAGTCAAATACCCGTACTCTCTATCATTATATGCTTCTTCCCGTAAGCATCATTCATTCATTCATTATTTTCATTGAACCGATCATCAATTATTACAGGTCTGGTGGAACAGCTCATGAATCAGTTTATTTATTTTCTTAAACTATTACTAACATCTTCTTGCTTGCAATGTGTTGTCGTTTTATTTACCCCCCTCGCACGCCTTTGTATTCTTACCCCACTTTCACTTTATTCTCGCAGAAATCGCTGAAAATTCACCCATCGAGTGCATGAAGCCTCATTTTGACTTGACTAAACATGCATGCATGATCCGAGAAACTCAAGTCGTCATACAATTAATTACATTAATTATCCCATACCACTACTCACAAGTAACGGAGAGTTAAATGCAAATAATATATCACACCTAAACCTAAAGGCAAACAGATCAGCATATGCGAAGTGTGTTTTATCTCTGGAAGTTCAAAGGCTTCGGTTACCTGTTCGTATAACTGTGTAGATTTCTCAAATATCTCACCTTTTGTCCGATATTAATGAGCAGGCTAAACTGTGATAAAAAAATGAAACACTGAAGTGTTGAATGACCCAAAACTTTGTCGTCCTACACCTAATTCTTAGAGCATATACTCAGTCAGATAGAGTGTGAAGATATAATTGAAGACCGAGAGGCTCAACACAGCAGTGTTCTATCAGCTCGGTAGCACGACTTTCGAAAATCCCCTCGAACAGTTTATCAATACACACTCAGAGAAATAACACTAGACAGAAATATCCAAATGTAATCAAATTGAAAGAAAACGACCAGAGTGTGAGGGTATTTACAAAACCAGCAACGATTACGCAAGTTTATGTCGTCATAAATTGGGCTTGTTGTAGTCCGGGATAGTTCTGATTATGTCACAAAGGAATGATCAACGACGAGAATCGGGGGTTGGTGTAGGGAAGTACTCTCGAGGACTAGGCGACGGTGAACCGGGACGAGGTGTGGTCATTAAATAATGTGAGGACGGGGTCTGAAGTGTTGATGGGCTGTACGCCGAAGCACCGAGCGTCGATCCAGAGAATCCGGTGCCAGAGTAAGCCAATAAACTGGATGAACCCAATCCGGTACCGGTACCGGTACTCACTCCGCGGGACATGGGATAATTTGGTGTGGTTGGATAAGATAATGGTGAATGACTGGGGCCGCCCAATGTACCGCTGGGTGCTCCACCCGGGGAGCTTGGTGTAGTCATTTGAGGTGAGTAGCTTTCCATAGAAGAGCTACCTGCTAGCGTAGGTGGGCTGTATCGCGGAGCCGATGGAGAGGCACTGAATGATAATGGAGATGCCGGCTGGCTATTGGGATAGAACAAGGGTCGACTGCCGCTCAGACTGCTGGCGCTCATACCGGGTGACGGGGAGCTGGGAGATACACCAGGTGTCTCAGAACCAGGAAGCGCGCTCCAACCGATAAAATCGCGGCTAGTAGTGCTTCCACCACCAGTTGGCATGGGGCTGTGTGGACTGTATGAATAATTAATGCTATCAGGAGAATCGCTAGATGGTCCGAACGATCCGCTTGAAAGCATTCCATAACCGGAGAAACTGGGGTGATGTGGTGAACGCTGAGTGTACCCGACGGACATAGGTTCATAAGATTGTTGCAAAGAAAAGGTAGGCGAATTGCTATCGCCACTCGCACTGAAACTGGAACTACTCCCAGTGCCAGCATATGAAGGTTTGTGAATGGGCGAGAATATATCCGCACGAAGACTGGTAGCACCTCCAAAGCCAAATGAACCGCTGCTCAAACTGCCCGAATGGCCTGGACTGGAACCCGGAGAACCCAATTCCGTTTGCGGTGTGCCTGTGATTGACATTGGACTGGTGAAATTTGCATACGTCGCTGGAGAGAAAGCTTCCGGAGTGCGTGGACTGTCCAACTGAGGACTACGGCCCGGTGAGAGAGATGAATCATAGCGAACTGCTGGGGAAAACATGGCATTGTGTGGTGCTGTCGCGCCACCCAAACCACCGCGATAACTAGGTGAAGCATCAAAAGAACCAGCTGGAGAATGAGCGTTGTCCCATGGTGTGTGATAACCACAATCACCACTCAAAACCGGGAGTCCATCAGCACCCAAAGCCAAACCGATTCCTGGAGACGCCAAAGCGGAAAGCCCCTCAAATCCAGGGGCATTGAACAATCCCATTCCCATAACTCCAGATAATGGAATTGGTTGGGCTTCTTGACATTTGGCCGAATCCAATAATAGGTCAAAACAACCGGTGCCAATTCTCGCCAACTGTCCTAACATAATCCGCTCGGAAACTCCGGCCATAGGATCACACTCGGCATGTGTTGCTGCGTCCATCAAAATATCCACGGTTTCTTCGAAACTGCACCGAGCCAGAGCACCAGTATCAAGACGATTCAATCCATGTCGCGTAATAGCCATCAGATGTCCTTTAACAGTCATAATGTCACATAACAAAGCAAGATGACGATAATTCACGTACGAACCGTCAAACGAGATCACGTGGTGCATTTCGCACTCGATCGCCTTACGAACCGCTTCGATACCAAGAGCTTCGAAGATTTCTACAATATCATTGCTCACTGTTCGAGTGGGATCAACATCTCTCTCAGCAAGGACACGCATCAAACAGGTACCATCGGTCTCTAACATCCATTCGGCTACAGCATCAAAACTACCGTCATCTTTGATAACCACTCGCATTTTGTCTCGTGTCTTGGGAAAATGCATGTAGACCTTGGTGATTTGCGGAATACCTTGTAGTGTGATATCTGACAAAAGATTGGCCTCGATAAAGCGTAGGAACGTGTCATCTTCCATTTTGTCTGATGTAGTATCCGCTTCTTTGAAATCTTTTTCCAAATCGCTATTCATGATTCGAATACGCATCACCAACTTGAGGTTGTCGTCCGGAATATGGCAGATCAGGTCGTTACCAAAGGCCCGAGTTATTTTATCCGCTATTTGTTCCATGGACAACTTTTTACCAGTCATACCCTTACGTGCAAATTCAATACGTAACATCCATGAGCTGATCGCGGTTACATCGAAATCTGGAAGTTCATAATAGGTGGACACCCATTCTCGATCCTCTTCGACTACACTGTTTTTCGGATCTGGATCGTAGTATATATAGGTGCTGTTGACTAATTTGCGTAAAGTTGTGTGCTCCAATCGGGCAACAACATCCTTCGTGCGTTCTGCGTCCCGAGCAGCTGGACCGGTTAGATAAATAGTCATCGACGGCGTTTTCGGTTTCTTGCTGACGTTGATAATCTCCTTCAAGCGAGGCACACCAAGGGTGACGTTCTTAGCGGACACACCAGCATAGTGGAACGTGTTTAGGGTCATCTGAGTGGCTGGTTCACCGAGAGATTGTGCAGCCAATGCACCGACCATTTCACCCGGATGTATTTGAGCTTGTTGGAACCGCGCGCGCACTTCGCCCAGAACCCAGTCTAAGGCTTCATAACTCAATCGGTACTCATTGATTACCTTTTTTGCACAAAGGGAGGATCGAATCAGGCTGCAAATCAATAAAGTTGCGTTAGCATTTGCCTCTTTGCTTAAACGATCGTCCCCGGGAATGACGACTAATCGCTTGCAAGTTTCACGGACCATTTCCACGACTTGGCGCGGATGCACGTTTGTTTTCGATAGAGGATCAATTTCAAATATTTTCTGGGCATTCATTACCAGTCGGTTTATGTTGCATGGTAAAACGACAGAGTCGTCGGTTTTCCGAATCACTGCCCGAAGCGATTCACGATCAGCACAAAGCTGCATCCACTCGGCATCTAGTTCAGCTTGTGTCTGTGAGTCCGTGGCCAGACTGCGGACTACCTCTTCTGGCATGCAACGTCTCAGCGCACGACCATTATTGATGTCAAAACGAAAACCATGTTCAAATGCCGCATGGGATGGCTTGAATGAAGGTAGTTTTTGAAACTCAACATGTGACGCATCCAAACCGTCCTCACCATAACGAAGTTGGATCAACTGGTTGATTTGATTTCGGACAGTACCATCGTATTTAACCATGACTGATTCCATAGCTTTGATTAACCGACGTTGAATATAACCAGTCTCAGCAGTTTTCACAGCAGTATCGATTAGACCTTCACGACCGCCCATGGCGTGAAAGAAGAACTCTGTCGGTGTGAGACCGGCAAGGTAAGAGTTTTCCACGAAACCTCGAGACTCCGGCCCGTAATCGTCTTGAATGAAGTGCGGTAAAGTACGGTGGCGAAAACCAAACGGAATCCGCTTGCCTTCTACGTTTTGTTGGCCGACGCAGGCGATAACCTGAGAGATATTGATACGTGACCCTTTGGAACCTGCAACGACCATGATATTGAAGTTATTGTATTTGGATAATGACTTTTGCGCACAACTACCAGTTTTGTCACGGGCATCATTCAGGATTTTGTTTACACTGTTTTCAAAAGTCTGTCGAAGTGTGTTCCCTGGAGTCGGCTGAAGGTCATAATTGTGGGCCTGATCAATAATCTCGAACACAGCTTCCTTTGCTTTGGTGATGGTTGCAAAAATCTGTTCTCGAGTGGCTTGATCATACAGTGTGTCGGCGATACCGATAGTGTGACCTTCGATTAGCAGCCAATTGTTAACGACGGTTTGGATGTTATTGAAAAACATGTTAACTTGTTCGTGGTGATGTTCCAGTGCGACAATGTGAATCAACGAACCGGCACCAGAACCCAGTGTTTTTTTGCACAGAATGCCAGCTATGAGATCTCCATCGTCCACAATCACCTTCGTATCTCCAGGGGAAATCCACCGATAGGGTCCGATGTCTTCCTCTTCCGGATGAGTGCTGTGAGTTCGAATACAATTAACACGCCCGGGAATAACCAAACTGAATAGTTGTTTACCTGTCCATAATCGTTGTGGTTTATAAATGGCAGGTTTTGGCATACGGCCATTCCAGGTGGGCAGATACATCAGCAAATTCATCATTTCAGCTCGATTGAGAAACACGTCTCTCTGAGTCATTTTATTCACCGCAGTCAGTGTATCCTGCACGATACCCATAACCGGTTTGTTCGCTTGGGGTGTGATGACTAGACGGGATACGCGGGCCAGTTGACTGATTTCCGCCTTTGTCTCCACCGACTGAGGCAAGTGCAAGTTCATTTCATCACCATCGAAATCAGCGTTGTACGGTGAGGTGACAGACAAATTCAGACGAAAAGTGGACCAAGGGAGGACTTTGACACGATGACACATCATAGACATTTTGTGCAGTGTTGGTTGTCGGTTGAAAATAACAAAATCATCATTCAGCATGTGACGTTCGACGACGTAACCAACTTGCAATGTTAAATCAGCCACCTTAGGATGATAACGCAAATCGATTCGATCACCATTTTCGCGAACGATGAACTTTGCTCCGGGATAGAGAGTACCGTTCTGGACAAGCTTTTGCAAATGATCAATATTGAATTGCGTGACCGTTTCCGGATAGGTGAGATTTTGTGCGATTGTGCGTGGAACACCGACTTGGTCTAAGTTCAAATTCGGATCGGCTGTTATGACTGTACGTGCAGAGAAATCCACACGTTTTCCCATCAGGTTGCCTCGAATACGACCAGCTTTACCCTTCAGGCGAGTTTTGATGGACTTTAAAGGTCGACCGGATTTTTGGATAGCCTTGGGAAGGCCAGGCACATCGTTGTCCACTAGAGTAGTGACATGGAACTGTAGTGTACGAATTTCCTCGGCTAAGATGTGCGCGGCAGCGCCGTTTTGTTCATCTCTGCGTAACTGATTATTAGCCTTGATAATATCCGCCAGTTTGTGAGTCAGATCATCTTGATTCCGAGTTGTGCCATACATGACGACAGCAGGACGTACAGCTAAAGGCGGAACGGGCAGGACAGTGATGATCATCCACTCTGGGCGAGCGTAGCGGGGATCGAAACCCAGAGCAATGCTGTCTTCATCGGAAATCCGTTTGAACACCTCCAGCACTCGTTCAGCTGTCAAAGCGATTTTGCGCTCTTGTGATTCCTCGTTGATTTTTTTCCATTCAGCAGACATTTCCAGGCCGATTCGTCGGAACCGCGGTTGATATCTTCCACAACCAGCACGTTTGGTCTGAAAGAAAAACCAACATGGACGGCAAATCTGTTAGGTGTGCATCAAACAAATATTAGCACAAGTGAGAAGTTGAAGGAAACGTATACACATATGGTTATTCGTTTAATGAACTTAGATGAGTATAATTTTTTTCTTGGTGATTGATGGATGTCTCACGTTTGAATCTCACAACCACTCTCTAGACCTTACGTCCGGTTATTTCCAGATCAATGTTTATCACGCATGGCATGCAACATAATAAATTTAACCGAAATGCAGTTGTGTCACATCGAGAAAACATCTCTAGATCGCTGAATTAATCAAGGAACAAGCGTATTATTTTTAAATTCAAGTTGTACAACAAACCAGGGTTAACAGCGGATTACTGAGAACTTATGGAAAAGAAATGAACTAAAGTGAATGAAAAAACTGTCAGGGAGTGGGCATGCCCTCTGAAAACTGTTTTGTTCTGGAGCAACCAATCAGAACAGCGACAGGTGACAGAATTGCTCGTTCCGTTTAGTTCAGATTTTACAACCATTAATGATGCAGTTTCGTGCTCCGGTTTAGGTCGCTGTCTTATTAATGTCTATTTGGATAAAGGAGCAGATGAAGGAATGGAATGTTGCAAGCAGAGTTAAAAAGAAGAAAGAGGATTCACATGGACCAAGGGTGCAAGGATAATGAGCAGATGAACGAGCTCCACTCAGTCATATCACTGTGCCTCTAACCATCGGTCCCCATTTAGGAAGCCTGATGCGACATACGTGACGAAATGTCCTGGTCAGGGTTTTTATGCCTTTATTTCGGGTCTTCATNTTTTAACTTTTTGCCAACACCTCCCTCGACAAACAAGAATCGCCATGGCAACCCATTTACTGCCATGCGTGGCACGTCCAGACCGATGTAATCTATGGAAGTAAACCTCTTGCTCTCTTGGGCGACCGCAATCAACTGAAACTCTCCATCTGACCTCAGCATTACTCATCCGGTGGTCCCACCAGACTCGTGCAATGCAACATACATAGCGATGTTCAAAGACTAACAATCTACTTTTATCCTGTTCCCGAAATAGCTGAGTCTCTACGCCGTAGAGTAGGATTGGCCTAACTACTACGACATACACTCGACTCTTCACAGACCGGATGTCGTGACAGTGTCATGGATGCCTCAAGTTGGCAAATGCCAGTCTTTCGTATGCGTGTCGAAACTTCATCTGTGATACGTCCGCCGGGTGAGATGTAGATGCCCAAGTAACCAAATTTGTTCACTACCTCTATTACTTCTCCGGTTGGAGTGACATTGGGAGCTTGTACGACAGAAAATCAACGACTGAGTTGAAAACTGTTTTCAAACACGGTCAGGCTTCCGTTACTCGAGAGAATTTTTGCCCAGCAATCGATTGGCCGGTCTACAATCTCTCGTGTTGCCAGTCCTAAAATTATTTCATTTCCTGATAATATTTTCTCATATTTCATATACAAAGGATGTATTTATTCGAGTCAAAATTTCGTCACGATGTTGGTTATTTCTCTAACCTAGCCAGCCGAACGGAGAGACAGACGCGCCGGATGGCAGAGTGCGTTCAATCATACTACTCTCGAAAAGATGGTTGCTCTTTCTGTGGTCAGTACATACGTCCCATCCTTGTTTGGAAAGATGACAGACTTTTGATTTCTCGCAATCACTCTACCAATCATGTTTTGTATATAACAATATTGGCGAAACACAGACACTTAAGATCCGCTTGTATGTCCAGGTTATATTTGCTTCCATCAAGACAGGGAAATATGTAAGATCGGGGGTTCAGGTTAGTCCCTTCAAATACTTTTGATATGGCAAGTCCGATGCAGCTTGTACACATTCTTGTCTAGGTACGGACTGCATCTTGTAACCCCAAACTTTCATTCCTTCACTCCACATTTCCAATCTGTACNACTTTTGTTCTCAAATTGACATCAACTTATCCTGGGAATCTTTCATTCCTTCTACAATGATTTTGCTGACAGAGTGCTTGTTTATTTATGTTGATGATTTTAACCATGCTCCATACTTTCCCTTTGACTAAATTTGGTCTAATGACTTAAGTGCCACTCCACAAAATTTGATGCTATTCTGCTCCTATATCTCTTTGCTTGAAGTTCCTAGTTTCTACTGACGGTAACTGCCTCCTTCAACTTAGACTCAAAACTTACTCTCCTCCGGTTTTTTATTCTTTCGGTCTAGGCATATTTGCGTCACCCTTCTTTCACCGGATTCTTTTTATTACACACCTAGGTGTGATGAACAGCAGACGGGGTAAACCCCATAGTCACGAGGACTTGCTGTTCAGTGATGGAAACCCGCAACCTAAGCCT